ATATGCACTGTCCGTCTCTGATACTTTTAAAGACTCCTTTTCAGTACTTGATTAAAGCTTACAAATAATGTTCAATTTATTGTCACTTCTTTTTAATACTATAAAACAGGAAATTTTTGAAAGGCTATTATTACTATAGACATCTATGTAACCAGGGTGAAATTTGCATCTGTCTGGCAATTCAATATAGTAATTTTTTATGTTAAAATAAGTTACAGCTATAAATATAGTAGAGAAGAATGAAGGGAACAGAAGGAAGGTCTCAAAAAGGTACGATCACATTATTTGCTATCAGTTTATTAAGATGGGAGCGGATGTTATAACACAAATACACATTTTCCATTTATTATGCAAATAATCAATCCTGAGTTACTTCTTTTAAAGAACCAAGGCAATGGAGCAGTGGCTTCTTTTGTCTGCAAGTTTTAAGCAAAACACAGGGGGGAATCTATGAACCAGTAGCTACCAGACCGTATTAACAGAGACAGCATATTTTTCACTGTAAACCTCATCTACAGGTTGGGACTGCTTTTTCCAGTTCACATTTAGTGAAGAAAGACTAGGACCAACACTATGCTAAGAATGTTTCCAATCACCCATACATAATTGGGATGTTTAATTAAGTGACATACTTAATGTGCAAATGTAACACTTGCAGAAATGCTTGAACTGAACAGGATTGCAAAAAGATAACGTCTTTATGACAAACAAAAATTTTATTCCATTTTTACAACTCGTACAATCATTCTTTGGATTATTTGAGCAGAGGCATGATCTCTGCTTTGTTTTCTAATAACTTTTCTGCTCCTTCAGTGAGATTCAGTGAGAATAAAGGCCTTTAAGATGTACACTGATATATACATATTAAAGCTAAAGTTATCACTATTTTATAATAATACCTAAATATTTTTTTTGCTTTTACTATTCTGACATGTTTCAAAACAATTTCAGAATGTTTCCCTTCTTATTTCAGAATGCATAACCTTATCTTTATGTTTATTTACTCAGTCCTACCTGGTACATCAAAAACATAATAAACTCTGTGTTTAATTCAAAAGATATGAAAATAAAGGTGAATAGAAACCCTGTTTGTTATGTCACTCAGAAGATTTTATAAACCTGCTGATACAATAAATATGAGGAGGGAAAAAAAATCTCCCATCAAAATTAACTCTAGTTCCTTCTGTCAGCCCAGAATTTGACTATTAAGACTGTAGTATTCACTGGAATACGTGTTCAAAGTCTCCTGTTCTTTTGGACTTATTTGATGATAGACCCATAAGACTTCCATTTGCCTCCTCACCAGAGCTTTTCTAGGATAAGTTCTCCCTGTGTCCTTCATCTCACATCTAAATATTGGTCCCTCATTGGAGTATTTACCGGAACCACATCATATAGCTAATGGAAAGTATTTTCTGAAGTTTAACACTCTACTAACTATTCTAGATAAATTTCAGAAAGTTAGCTAAATATTTTAAAAATCTAATATTTTTTTCTGTTTAAATATTGTATGTAATATACAGTCTAAATTTTTTGTGTATACTCAGTTAACTATTTTTGTCACTTAGTTCCCAGACAACTTATGGTAGCAAAGAAATGAGTGGGACAGTAACAAAGGGGAAAAACATTGAATCACTAAAAATGGAATTCTATTCTTTGAAAATCAGTAATTGCCAAATATGACAAGTGGGACAGTCTACATATATGACTGGCATTTGTTGGAGGAAAAACTAATTTTCTGTGTACTAAAACAATTTCTTTATTTTCCTCTTTTTTATGGATGTGCTTATGTATGTAGACTTAAATGATTCTTTTGTCTTATTAGTAAGTTTAAAAATCAGTCAGAAATGAACCTGTGTTTTCCTACCCACACAATTAACTTTAACATGTAATTTGTAAATCTCTTACAGAATTAAAGAGTTCTATTAGTTATCAGTTGGCTTATCTTTTACATGCCTTTATGTCTGTTTTGGATGGCAGTTTTCTAGAAGGAAAGCCAGAATCTGCCTAAAATTTACAACACATTGCATACATGTGAACACTAAATACATATGATGTTACGATGAGCATGAGTAAAATAGTTACATTTATGTCATAACTGGTATTTGTAAGGTACTTACACATCATTTTATTTGTCTTATGTAAGTTTAAAAATCAGAAATGAACCTGTGTTTTCCTACCCACACAATTAACTTTAACATGTAATTTGTAAATCTCTTACAGAATTAAAGAGTTCTATTAGTTATCAGTTGGCTTATCTTTTACATGCCTTTATGTCTGTTTTGGATGGCAGTTTTCTAGAAGGAAAGCCAGAATCTGCCTAAAATTTACAACACATTGCATACATGTGAACACTAAATACATATGATGTTACGATGAGCATGAGTAAAATAGTTACATTTATGTCATAACTGGTATTTGTAAGGTACTTACACATCATTTTAAGACTAAAAATATTAAACTACATAATAAAAAGGATAATGAACTGCATAATAAGAAGGATGAATTTAAAGGTAGAACACTTGTGTAACTTTGCACAGAAACCAAATCATAAATGCACCAAACTATAGATTCATATTACACACACGCACACACACACACACACACACACACACACACACATATATATATATATGGAAATCTTACTATAAATTTACAGTGTGTTATGGATAGCTCCCTTCATAGAAAATGGGAAAGAAAAGTTTACCTGTGTTTCTTTTTTTAAACTATGTTTCTTAATGATCACAGTATATGTAAAGTGCATTTATTTGTGATATTAAGATAATTGAATGAAAACAATAGGTATGGCAAAGTTTTCATTTAAAAATCAGCTTTATATAATATACATATGTGATTTCCATATCAGTCTGCATATCTTTACCAGTATCTGTGTAATTCATCTAAATTGACAACTTCTAAAGTGTTGACCTGTTTGTCTTTGTCCCTTCATTTCAGTCTGAGTCCTTGTAATTTGGAGAGAATAAAAGGTAATGATTGTTTGTGAAAAGGCATTTCTGTAGATAAATATTTTTCCCCAAAACTTCTTATTCTACCCATTCTGTTTTTATGAAAGAAGTAATTAGTAAACTGAAAATAATTTTTTTAAAACAACCAGACACTTGGACAACCCATAGAGGTAGTCAATCAATTTTTCCACATACATTTCAAATTGCTTTTTATTATGGCATTGCAATACAATAATTTAATGTGTGTCAATATCCTCTTTTACAATCTAGAAATGTTTTTGAAAATCACTGGATTATTTTGTCTTTTTTTTTCCCCATGTTACTTTACATCTAATTTATATAGCAAAATGTCAATATGGGAAAAAGAAAAGCCATAGCTATCTTTCCACGTTAACTATAAAGGTTCTTGTTTTGTTTTGTTTTCAGAAAGAAAAATTAATCCAACCTAGATTTATTTTTTTCTCCTCCTTACTCTTCTCTAATATTAATTTCTCCTTTCTTTATAGCACAAAGTGTCAGACTGGAAAAGTTTGAACTATGTTAAAAAATGATTATTAAAATAAATTGTGAGCAATTCCTATTAATCTTTTTTGTTTTCAAAGATACAGTGTCCGTTAAATTTTTTCTAAAGTAGTTATTTGTATAAATACTTGCTTTTATTTACAGTAAAAGTGAATTGTTGCTAAAAAAAAAGTGAGTGCCTTTTCAAAGGTTGCAAATTTGGCAAGGTGACAAGTTGATTATGTGCTGGTTACTACAAGCAATGTCTTCAAACAGAGCAGCTGCTACTGAGCTGAGCAGGGACCTCCGGCTTCTGCCCCAGACTTTCCTGTTTGTTTCTCCTGCCAGGCTTGCTCTACTCTCCACACTCTTTCTTTCTGTAGTGTCATGGTCCAAGAGCTTTTTCTTATTATGTATTTCTCTCTTTTCCTCTGTGTCTTTCACTGCCTCCTTTTCTCTTTGCTTCTCATTCACAGAACCTTAAAAAAAATAAATAAATAAAGTGGCAGAGAGGACTAAAGGTGTAGGGAAAGTGGGAAGGGTAGGGGAAAGCTAATAAGGGAAAATAAAAAAACATGAGAAAATGAAAAAATGGAAATGAAGTGTTTGTAAAGGAGGAGGGGAGGAGGGGTGAAGGGAGGGCAGGGACAAGGGGAAAAAATGAGAACCAAGACTGTCATGTAAAGGTACAAGATCCCAATGATGAATGTAACTGTACTGTATACCTCAGATGTACCAATAAACTCAATGAGGAAAAAAAAGAAATAAAAAGAGAAGGAAAAAATGAAAATAAAACTTGTAAATAAGGAGAGAAAGTGAGTTTGAAGGAAGTGGAGGGGAATGGGAAGAAAAGTGGAGGTAAGATATCTCATGTACAGGTACAAATTCCCTATGATGAATGTTATCATTATGTATACTTAAAATG